CAGCACTGTCTTGCAGAAAACCGGTGTTCGTGCCCCTTCTTCAAAAAGGATGCTGCCTGCTTAGAGGGAATTCAGAGGCTCGCAATGAGAATGATTGAAGATCAAAGAGGGAAGTCGTATGATCAGAGACTTCATAATCTGGGGCTCTTTTCTCTGGAGAGGAGAAGACTCCGGGTTGACCTCATCGAAACCTTCAAAATAATGAAGGGTTTATCAGGCATAGGCCCGGAGAACCTGTTCCAGGAAGACCTCGATTCGAGAACAAAGGGTCACTGTAAGAAACTAAGAAAATCTTAATCCAGGATAGTAGCAAGATCACACTTCTTCGGTAATCGGGTAATAAACCTATGGAACCGACTGCCAGAAGAGCTAATGGAAGTACCTTCGATCCAAACCTTCAAACTACCCCTAGGTCGAAGGTGGGACGAAGTGGTTTCTGGGTTGAGCAGTGATTTAGCTCTCCCATTAGTGCACCTGTTGAACGCTCACGTACCTTAACGTCTCTCGCCCAGCAAGTGAGATGAGTTGTCCTTTCTTTTCTTTTTTAGCAGGAGAACTGACGGATCACTCGATACAGTAGTGGGTGCCGGACCTATGCATACCTCCGAAAGAACTCTGGACGCTCGATTGGCGATTTCCTGTCCTGTGCAAACTGAACTGAACTGAACTACCGGTGTCAGGATCACGCCAAGTCTCAGGGCCAAGAGTTCACTTCTTGACTAGATCCCGGTTAGTAGCCGACTTTGCGCTGTACGTCTGGATGGTTCAGTATGGCTCAGCGACTACAGAATAGTGTCGATTCTTATTCATCGTATCCGTGTATCACCGACGGATTTCAGTTCGCCAGAAATGAAGGATAAATTCTACAAGGATGTCTCTCAACTTCTCCAAAGTGCCCGGTCAACGAACGTCGTGGTAGTCTCAGGAGACTTCAGTAATCAAGTGGGATCCCTGGACGAATCAGAAATTCTTCGTGGTGGTTCACATGCAATCCAAGTTAACCGGACTTACAACAGAGATCGCCTATTCCAATTGTGCGCTGACCACGGACTGTTCCTGTCAACCAACTTCTCGCACAAGAAACGACACCAACTTACTTGGACACCGCCCATTTCTTCACAGCACTGAACTCAAATCGACCACATCACCATCAGCCATCGCTGGCTAGGATCCATTGAGAATTACTGCTCCTACTGGTCAATGCCTGTGATGAGCTCGAATGATTGAGCGATAAACGAGAGAGGAAACGGAGAGGCAAAACGAGGCTTTGATTTTCTAACAATGTAGGTACATCGGCTGCAATAGAAAGATAAAAACCTACATTCTCAGTAAACAATGATATCTTAATACAACGATCGGAAGTCTAACAAAATCACAACATTCTTCCACGCTGACTGAAATGTTTGTGAATCACTGTATTTTTTAAACCGTATTTCGAATGTTGTATGGGTGGACACTGCTTGTCTCTTATGGGCTGCTGTATGTGATCCGTAGCATCAGACTAGATTTCTGATTCTAGAGCTTCATTTTCCAGTTGAACCACTGAAGGTGTGGATAGTTCCTCCGCGAGATGCACATGATGATTTGTTGTGGCTTCATGAGTGTTTTCCGATGTAGACGCTCTCGGAGCAAGCTGTCTCAATGATACAGTTTCCTCTTTTCCATTCGGAAGATTCACATGGGTCATATTGTGGGTTACAGTTTGGGAGTTCCACTTCTTCCGTTAGAGAACCATATTTTGAAGAACGACTGATTCTTTTGAGAAAAACTGGTCCCGGAGTCGACGATCATGTCGAAAGAGAGGTGCCATTGGTAGATCTCCGATTGAATGTCAAAAATCTTCCGTGAGGCGTTTCATTGGTGGCAGTGCACAACAGTTAACAGACTGAATGTAGTGTTCAACAGAACATATTCCCAGTGGTTTATATCAATTTGTTGAGATTTCGGTGCCAGAATAATAGCCCTCCACAACCTTCCACTTAATCTTTCGATTTGTCCGTTACCCCGTGGGTTGAATGGAGTTGTCCGACTGATTGACACTCCCTTATTGTGGAGAAAACTTGGGAGTTCATCTGACATGAAGGCAGTGCCAAGACCAGAATGAACATAAGATGGTACTCCAATAAAGGAAAATAGTTGACTGAAACAATGAATAACAGTTGAGGATGAGATCCATGCAAACAAAAGCGAAAGGAAAACGATAGTATTCGTTTATCATGGCCAAAAGATAATTGGGGGATAGAGGAGAATGGGCCTTTAATATCGATACTGATTCTTTCGAACGGTCTGGTCGCTTTTATCAAGTTGGCAAAAGTGCCTTTGAAAAAGTGAGGCTTAAGTTGTGCATATTCATTTAAAACTTTTTTGACGTCGTCTATGAAGAAGGGTAAGTTCTTAAAACGAATGAAGTGCGAAAAGCGTGTAATACCGGAATGACATAGAGTGTTGTGTAATTGTTTCAAGTCGGTGTGTGCCATGGCTGAAATACATCGGTTTCGCTAGAATTTGTCTGNACTCTAATTTCCATCGTTGAATTTTGTGCTACTTGTTGTAAATAATGGCAACTGAATGCTGGTCCGTGAGGAGAGTAAAGTGGTTCTCTAGGAAATGCTTCCACTTCCTTAGAGCTTGTACGATTGTGCACGCTTCTTTTTCGATCGATCGGTGGCGGCGCTCACTAGGGAAACGGTACGTGAGAAGAAAGCCACCGGACATCCGTCCTGATTGAGTGTTGCCACTATTGCGATGTGGGATGCGTCGGTTTCAACGATTAGTGGGCGGTTGTAATAAACGCGAAAATAGCGACCTCTTCCAGTTCTTTCTTCAACTCTTCGAAAGGGGGTGTTACGTTGTCCGGAATAGGAAAGATGTGGTTGTGCACTAATGGGTGAATTTTGTCTGCGAAGCGTGGGACCGATGCAGCAGAGTGAAAGCAAGGAAAACTAAAGATTTTTAAATTGCGTTTTCCTTTATATCGATATGGTGATTTTCGCTGAAAGAATGTCTACATTTTCACGATTTATGACTGCGTCCATGCTTTTTTTCCTTTCAGGATATATCCACTCACGTTTTGCGGAACTTATCTCGCCGATGGTTGGCTTCATTGCGTCGGGCGGGCAGTTACAGCCCTGGCGTTATGTACGTTTTTGATAGGAAAACAAAACTGCTCCAGAGGAATCGCTCCGCTGACCTCCCCGATCCGCACACTTACGATTATGTCAAAGAGGAAATAGCTTATCGATTGGCAGACCGTGTCTCTGATATTTCAAGGTAAAGACAATGGGCATTTTATCCATCGGAACTCTTCCGATTTTTCCTCCCATCCTGCTCGTTCTGTTGTGATGCTCTGTTTGGTTGTTCTAACGCCATAATTCCGTAATCCCGAGATGTATCACTCTTTTGAATAGAAAAGCAAAAAACAGGTTCGCAAAATGTATCCTGGATCATTTCGCTGCATCCATACACGCGCATACTGCAGTTTATGTGATTATTACTGTATGGTCAGTAAATAACAGAATTGTAGGCGGAGAAAGATTGCGGTCAATATTACTGACCTACCACATTTGTTCCCAAGGTAGCGCCCGAGTGATAAGCCATTCACGCTGTTTGCACAGTTGGGGATAGTAATTGCGAATGGCTGGTGCTTTGGCGTATTTCAAAACCTTGATGTTGTTTGTGTTGTAAAGAATTCTGAACGCGTCGCGCAGCATGACACAGTATTTCATGTCGACCAGGGGTTGTGTGATCAACGAGCTGAGTTTCCCACGGGTCATCGGTGACACCATACTTCCGAAGTTCCCACTCATTGTTTTCTGAAGCCAGACCGTAATTGGTTCGGTTAGTCGGTAACACAGTTGTCTGCCGATGTCAGTGGCCTAGCGTTCACACTTGAACTGATAGATACAATTAGGTTAGACGTGGGGAGACAGCTGTTCTTTCACCGAGAGTATTGGCAACCGGGGGGCGTAAAAACAACGATGGAATCACCTGCGTAGTAGGTGCGCCTATCGGCCTTGGTAATCAGGCGGTTGATATCATCACCCTTGAAGGGCAGTTGCAGGACCACTCATCTTATCTACACCTGGTGTCTTTTTTCGTGTCCAGTTGGGTTGGGAGTGCTTTAAGATGAACCCTTTCGGA